CTGCATCACTTCTGGCTTTCCTCTCACATTAAGATGACACGCCGTGATATAACATGAATACTGTTCAAAGCTGCGTTAAAACCCAACTCACTCACTCACTCACTCACTCACTCACTCACTCACTCATTAACTCATGTGCCAGTACCAGATTATTGGAGGAAAGGATACACTTATCGTCTTCAGAGCGTGGTCTAAAAACGGTAGTAATTCACGATCAATTTACAAGTTGATTCACATGAAAGTTAAGCCTCCTCATTTCAAAACCCCAAACGACAACATCTCAAAGCACGACAAAATAAATCCTTTGAAGCATTTTGAAGCATTCTTCTAATACGAACGCCGTTTTTCCTGTTCATTCTTCTCCTTCTTGAAGCACAGATACAATGGACACCATTCGCGACCTCCTGTACACAGAGAACCTGTCTTTGAATAACACTTCAAAACATGAAATAAAACTCACATTCTCAGATTCCTCCATCGCGATCTGATACCAATACAAATCTTTGAAATCAACTTTTCCTCTTAAATACTGCTAGCCATTACGATCTATCCAGTTACAAGCAGCAACACGATCAGATAGATGTCTTTGAATCAGCGCTGTATGATGTCCGTGTTCTACAGCGATCATTACAGTCGTCCCAAGACGACCGACCAAGTCGTACGTCCTTCTTTTCGTTCACACAAATCTAATGCTCGGTGATTAAAAGTCTCCAAGGGGTAGGAGGGACGTCTTCCGCTGTGAAAAATCTAAGAGGTCGCCGATGAAGAAGCCTCTCTTTAATCAAGTTTTTCTATCTTCCATTTGATGTCCACATTCGGCTATTTTTTCTTTTATTAAATCAATATCGGTGTTTAGATTTTAGTTTTCGGCTAGTTATTGATTTTCGTAATTTCTTCTGAGGTGTGCAGCCGCGCTCCACGTTTTCTTATTAATCATATCATGTGTTTTAGTTGTAATAATACGTCTGGCTGGCAGCAAAAAATGAATCTGGTTGTGGTCACCTGTGGTTCATACTCTGCTCTTTAAAGGTGGTAATCAAGATCTCTTTCCAAGCGCTGCTCAATCCTAGAACGAGTCTTACATAATTATGCTTTGTAAAGTGTCACAGAGAGCGTCTGCACTTGACTTTACCGGTAGTTATAAACCTGGTGTGGTGCAGAAAAGGAATTTAACTGTGACGTATTATTTTCAGAAACATCCATTATCATTAATACATCACCAGTCACTATATGGCTGAAATATTGCCGATGTGACGTAAAACATAAACTCACTCACTCATCACCACCACAATCATCATCATCATTAGCAACATATCATCAGGATATCAAAGATTCATATATAATGGTTTGTTATACTGAATCCAATACGGATTCGACCCCGAAAATCTTGACAAGCACACACGATAATATTGGCAAACAGACGTGATCAACTGACATAACGCTGTCGAGACCGTTTCGGAGTCCGCATATATCTGTTTCCCCCCCCCCCCCTCTCTCTCTCTCTCTCTCCCCCCCCCCCCCCCCCCCCCTCTCTCTCTCTCTCTCTCTCACACACACACAAACTCTTTCTTCCGAACACGATGGGCGCGGACTGGCTTTAAAAATGCCAGTAACACGCTGCACGATTGTCTTCTAATTTCGTACTTTCGTGATATTTTACAAGTGCCGATCTCAAAATACATGTATGTTGGCTCCTATAATCCTAACGTTCAAAGGAGTGGAAGATCAAACTGAGCCAAGTTTCAGAAAAACAACAATATCGGAAGAAGCAAAATCATGTTAAGATATTATATTTGGAGACAAATTTTTCTTTTCTTGGGGCAGATCACGAGATTATTACCCGATCTCTTGACAAGGGATGCGTTCCTGTGAAACATTTACGCCCTGAGTCCAGTACAGAGAACATCTGTTATACGGTTGGCGGGCCTATAACTTCTCCGCAATGGTATTGGTGGCGCCATCTGTCCCGACAATACCATTGGGATGAAACTTGTTGGACATCGAATAATACGATTGTGGTTCGCCTCAACATGTCACGGGGCGGTCGGGTAGCCTAGTGGTCAAAGCGTTCGCTCATCACGCCGAAGACCCGGGCTCGATTCCCGACATGGGTACAATGTGTGAAGCCAATTTCTGGTGTCCCCCGCCGTGATATTGCTGGAATATTGCTAAAAGCGGCGTTAAACCAAACTCACTCACTCACTCACTCAACATGTCACAATGATGGACATAAGAAGGTCCTTGTGTATGATCGTGTTTGTTTGTTTGTTTGTTTGTTTAACGCCGCACTCAGCAATATTCCAGCTGTATGACGGCGGTCTGTAAATAATCGCGTCTGGACCAGACAACCCAGTGATTGGCATCATGAGCATCGATCCACATAATTGGTATACGATAACATGCATCAACCAAATCAGCGAGCCTGACCACCCGATCCAGTTTCTACCCCGATCACGGGTCGCTTGTGTATGAAGATGCATTACAGTAGATCACTTACGTGGATGGCCCAGTCGTCTAAGGCGCAGAATTCTTTGTACAGAGTCCTAGAAACCTATGATTGTGGGTTCGAATATCGGTTCACCCCGATTATGTTTCTAGGTTTGTCAGCACCATTCCCGTGCTAGTGCTTTTTACTGAAGCGGTAAATGTCTAAGACCTGCATCACTTGGGGCTTTCCTCCAAAATTAAGCTGAAACGCTGTGATATACCTGGAATACTGTTAAAATCGGTGTTAAACACAACTCACTCACTCACTCTAGGTTGTCAGCACCATACCCTGCTCGTGGGTTTCACTAAGGCGGTAAACGTCTGAGACCTGCATCACTTCGGGCTTTCCTCCCACATTAAAGCTGACCCGCCGTGATATAAATGGAATACTGCTCAAAACTGCGTTAAACTAAGTCATCCACAGGTTGTCCTATGTTAAGAGGGGTCACGGGTAGCCCAGTGGTCTAAGCTCAGCTGTACTTCTTAGCCGCCAGAACACGGGATCATGGCTTCGAATCCGGATTCACTGAGAACAAAAGCCCAGGTACACAGATAGCTAATTAATCTGTGTAAAATTGCTTCCCTTATGCGTGCCAGGATCCGTGGACTGTGAGTTTATATATTACGATCCTTGGTTTCCCGTGCTCGAGGTGTTCACCAAACTTTTGGTTTTGCCACTTGGACTTTTCTCTTTGTACACAGGAGACATGAAGCTGAAACAACGGGTATACCTGGTATGCTGTGAAACGTGGCGCCACTCCACCTCACCAAGTCATTGACACACTCACACTGTGCATTTTGCGGCGGAATATATAACTAACTCCGGATCCCTCACACACACTCACACACTCACACACTCACGCATTTCGCCGCGGAATATATAACTAACTCCCTCACACACACACACACTCACTCAAGAAATGACGTTGATAATGACTTCGGTAATAATCAACTCTGAATCAATCTGTCTCAGGGTCAGATTCAATCAAACGTTGGTATGTGACGGGTCAAGTTTGTGATTAGCCATGGAAGAAAGCTGTTATTAAAAGTTAATGACGTTGTGAATTCCCGAGATGTCACGCTACATAACGATTTGCGCCGTAATAATTAATACGACCTTGACCTTTTGAAGAATTCTGTAACAAAACTAACAATTTACTTACTAAAATGTAATAGATCCAAATTTCACAGATATTTAGAAACATTTACCCAATTGCTGTGATAGTTTTGTCTATGGACTCCTTTTGATGAAAACTCAAACACTGGAGGGACGCTAATACCCGGGGGTTGCCAATGGATATGCACATGTTGATCATGGACACTTCAAAACCAAATAAATCTTAGAACTCTTTCGTAAAATTGCTCGACAATGAGGAAAAGTAAAAATACCCTTGGGGCGGCCCATGCCCCAAGTTGTGGATTAAATGAGTGGTAACGGATACGAGGCGAGGGTGCAAAAAGCTGTTTTATATCTGTATATTTGAAAGCACCTACTTCTCTGATTGTGTCTTTAACGTCTTTGAAATTTCACCCGGCGCCAAGATAAATTAGACGGTGTTTGTTGAAGTAGACTAAATAGGTGTGACGCGGGAGAGCTTTCAAATGTGTCTTGTTGCAAATGAAATGGGCGGAATATGTTTCTGGAAAGGAAATGATCTTGCGCCCCCAACATTCTTCCAGAATCGGTGTTAATTGGAGCTAATGAATAGTATTATCCTGCGACAACGGGAGGTCACGATCGGGAGATATGTAGTCAGTCGAGGCTGTAAATATGAAACGTCACCGCCAGAGAAAAACCAATCTCCATTATCTGCCGAAACAGATTCCGTTGGGCGTCAAGGGCAAAATAGCGGTGAAAATAGTAAGAAGAGATTACTGTAAATCAGTGATGGCACCAGGTGTTCATGAAAAGGGTAAGCAGGTCTTCCCCTACCGGTTACATCCTCCACTTACACAATTTGCATAAAGGTATTGTTGCCAGAGCCCGCACAGCAGCACTCCTGTCATTTGAGTGTGTGTGAATGAGTTTGGTTTAACGCCGCTTTTAACAGTATTCCAGTTATATCGCGGCGTGTCAGCTTAATGTGGGAGGAAAGCCCGAAGTGATGCAGGTCTTAGATGTTTACCACTTCGGTGAAACCCACGAGCACGGGTATGGTGCTGACAAACCTAGAAACATAATCGGGGCGAACCGGGATTTGAACCCACAATCATAGGTTTCTGGCGTGCCCAAGGGACGCAACTCTGCACAGCAAATCGCGGCGCCTTAGACGACTGAGCCACCCGTTCCCCCTCCTGCCTTGTGATGGCAAATAAACAAACCAGATAATCCAGCGATTGACAATTAAGATAATCAAGAATACACAGACTCTTACTGAATCATGAAAACTGTTGCATAAGACACATTCTAATCAAAATTAAAAATATAAGATAGCCATGACAGGTTAAATTGATCAAAGAAGTTAATACCCGGAAATGACGTGACATCACTTCCGGTATGTTATCTCCCCTACCTGCTGTGACACACCTGTAAGTCACGTGGATCTGTCTCGTGATGTCAAAGAGGTATCCACAGTAAGAGTCCATCATTGTCCTCAACCCGAGTGTGGCACATGTCCTTTGTCCGTGACACACTGAGAATATAGTTTCATTGGTGCCGGGGGAGCACGCGTGGCTCCCACCCCCACACACTATACTTCCGATTTCCAGGGTCTCGTTTATGGAACATTTCATTTTATTTCCCCCATTGGCACAAATCTCTGTCATCCTGATAGAGTCTTCATCTGAAACGACAAAAAACAACAACACTGGTCAAGTCAAATGGTACTGATGATGTTTCCGTTAGGAAGTGCAGCCATTGGAAATAAATCGAGGTATGCTATGACGTAAGACTAAGACTAATGCTTGGTCAATTTAATTTTTAAATTGAAAAGGAGCCTCTGTGAGAACTTGACGCTGTAAAATGGTCAGAGACAGACCCACGATGACGACAACCAATTTATTCTTTCGGTACAGATGCTGGTAACTTTATTTGTCAGTAAATTAGCATGAAATAGGGATGATACCAGGGCCCACTTGCACAAAACGATCTTAGTGCTAAGACTATTGTGGGCCTATGTTAAAGTATGGGAGTTAAGATCATCTTAGCACTATGATCGCTTTGTGCAAGTGGGCCCAGGTGTTCGCGAAAAGGTGAGCGAGTCCTGACCCACCAGTGGCACATGTCACACATGCAAAGGCAAGTCCAGTGTTCATATGAAATAGACACGGGGATATACGGTACTAATCAAAATTGGGAATTGCATCGGACAACTCGTAATTCATTTCAATGAATTTCATTTGGAAATGTCCTCCATATGTCTATCAAAAAAATATTTTGAAAGCTTTGCTGAGGTCTTGAATGTTGTGACCCTGATCAAACAAATTTTGAACAAGAGTCTTCGATTGCACCCCAAAAGTTGTGCAATGTAAATCTGAAATATCTGAGGGAGGTCAGGTGAGGTACAACATGTTTGAGATTTGGGTATATGATGGTCAGAAGATTGTAAGCATATGAAGGTTCACGATGTATCGCTTAACGAGTATCACTACACGACAGCTGAAAGCTCTGGTTTTCAGATAAAGGTATATTATATTTCAGCAAGTGATTGTTATGATCATCATGATAACGTTATCTGACACAGATCAAGGCAGTGGAAGTTTAAGGTATTTACTAGGGTCAGAAGAAAACAGTTACGTGACATATATAAAAGTATATGGCTTTTCAGATATTAATTATCATTTGAGGGAAAACAACCATTTGAAACTGAAGGTGTTCGGAAGGCATGCGTTGTCTCATGTTAACAAAATAAATGAGAAGTCTACACTGAACAACAAAAGTTCCTGTGACATTGAATAAGATTTAATGAAAACTTATGTCTTTTACCAAATCTGAAACAATTTCGGTTTGCAACAGATAAAAGACTCCTTTAAGTGTTCAAATGGTTTAATTTGCCATACTAACTTCAGAAAATGCGTGATTTCACAAAAACATGAACATGCCAAAATGTCAATTTACAAATCAAAAGCGTATGTGTCCACCTCTGGTTGCGATGCAAACAACACATCTTCCTCTCATGGAATGGACCAGGCGTCGCACAAAGTCCTGTGGGATATCTGTCCATATCTGCTGAAGCATGTTTCGAAGTTCCTGGAGTGTCTGTGGAACATGTGGTTGACGTCGAAGGCGCCGATCCATCTCATCCCACAGGTGCCCGATTGGTGAGAGATCAGGGGAGCGAGCCGGCCAGGGGATGACATTCACGTTGTTTTGTTGAAGAGAATCCTGAACAAGTCGATCAATATGAGGCCGGGCGTTGTCATGTTTGAAAGGTAATGCCTGGGCCATCACGACGCAAAAACGGTAGAATCACAGGGCCGATGATCTCTACGCGGTAGCGCTGTCCATTGAGATTTCCCTCTACCACTATCAAACGGGTCCTCCGTCTTGCAGTAATCCCACCCCATACCATAACGCTGCCGCCCCCGAACCGATCTTCTTCCACGACACAATGATTGACGTAACGTTCACCTCGACGTCGGTACACTCGAATCCGTCCATCGCTGTGGCTGAGGTGAAAACGAGACTCGTCGGTGAATAGAACTTGTCCCCACTGCATGGCCGTCTAGTCTAAACGCTGTCTACACCACCGTAGACGTGCTTGACGGTGGTTTCCTGTCAAAATGGGACGTCTTACGGGTCTTCTGGCGACAATGCCTGCACATCTGAGGCGGCGACGTACGGTTTGTGAAGATATTCGTCGAAGGCCAGGGATGCTCCTTGCAGTCACTGTTACTTGCTGGAATCGATTTCGTAGGTGTGTTGTTCGAATCCAGTTGTCTTGTCGATTCTTGGTTACGCGTGGCCTGCCACTCCGACAATGGTCTCTGACTGCATTCGTCTGTTGCCAACGTTGCCATAAACACCAAATGGTGTTTCTGTGGACCTTAAATTGTCTTGCAACATCGCGTTGACTCGATCCTGCTTCAGCATACCAATGGCTCGCAGACGCTCATTTCCGGACAGGCGTGACATTTCGTAATGTTGAATAATTGCGTAATTTTGTTGTTTTTCTGAGTTGTTGTTGTCAGCACGATGATAAACAATGTATGTGGAATCCCGTTAACGCACATGTTTTCATACCCATTCTTGGGTAGTGAAATGCATATGGCTTGCATAAAAGTCAACTTTTGCACTGAATACAGCTTTTCTGTAGCAGTTGCGTTTTTGTGACTTGATTCCATACATGTACGACAATACTGAAAACCAAACTTTACTTGTTTGAAAAATACACTAAAATATTGGTGTCACGGGAACGTTTGTTGTCGAGTATATTTCGGTGAGGCAATTTACGATTGCCAGCGTGGAATATATATCTGTTAACATAAACTTGAAACCAGACTCAGACGTTGCCCGAGGTTGCAATTTAAACATATGTCTATATGTGTGAAATGACATACCTACACCGCCTACGGATAATCTTTATTGTTAAACTGTTGACAGCATCAAAGAGATTATTTTGTCAAGTATTGAAGAGATTTTGTTAATTTACTTGAACTAATCTGTAAATCCCAAAGTTGGTTTCGTTAGGGGGAAACCCGCAGCCCCCCCCCCCCCCCCCCCCCCTTTGGGTATGTCAAGTGACTGAAACTGACTGTGCCGCTGGTGACGTAATTAGCTTATCGGTATCACTCGATTTACATTCGTTGTAGTCATTTTAGGTGACCTGTGGCCTTATTGTTATTTGTGGATTCAACTGATTAGCGAACCTGATCTGTCTTAACATACATTGTTCATGTATGACTGGCTAAAGTTGTCCAAATTGTATTTGTTTGTTGTTTTACGAAACTGTCAACAATATTCAAGGTATATCCCGACGGCCTGCAAATATCCAGATTGCTGTCATGTGCAACGCCATGGACGTCTTACCGAGGCGGGGCGGTCGGGTAGCCTAGCGGTTAAAGCGTTCGAAGACCCGGGTTCGATTCCCGACATGGGTACAGTGTCTGAAGCCCATTTCTGGTGTCTGATATTGCTGGAATATTGCTAAAAGGGGCGTAAAACGATACTTGGTCACTTGTTGCTTTTACCGAGGCAAGGGAGTTAACTGACGATGAAAGTCCAGTTTCCACTCTTGCCGAATTTGGGAAGAATTTAGCGTTATATTTTGGATGTATTGACGGGTTTATGCATAGTCCAATCAAAATCGCTAAACGAAATTGACATCCCGTTCGTAAACTGGCTTGCAGACTTAGGTCGATTGCAGGATTTGCAAAGCATGTGTGCCGCCAACAGGGCGTCAACAGATATGATCCAAATCTTTTCATGTTTTTAATAAAGGTGCTCACGTGATTTGATGCACTTCGCGAAGCATGACCCGTTTTATTACAAACTAGGCGCCGCCATTTATGTAAAACAAATGCAAGTGATATGAGAGGTGAAATCGGATTGGTCAATGGGAGGGACATAGAAGAGACATAACTGGTTATAGCCACAGGTGACGCTACGATCGAGCCCAGAAATTCTAGTCTTGTTCGGCAAGGGTGGACAACAGAGTTTTTCCGTCAGTTAACGCACGTGTTTCTGGAAGATTTGGTATGGATGACGCGGGACCCGGATGACACTGGTAGTAGGTTTTTCCCGTGATTGATTATGTTTCTGTTTACTATAACTACAATCTAGACCTGAATCATCGACCCGTGAAGATCCGGGGTAGAATAGGTCTTCAGCAATCCACGCTTGCCGTAAAAGGCGACTATGCTTGTCGTAAGAGGCAACTATCGAGATCGGGTGGTCAGGCTCGCTGACTTGGTTGATGCATGTCATTGATCCCAATTGCGTGGATCGATGCTCATGATTTTAATCACTGGATTGTCTGGTCCAGACTCGATTATTTTACAGACCGCCGTCATATAGCTGTAATATTGCAGAGTGCGGCGTTAAACAACATACAAACAACCTGAATCATCGGGATTGCCTCCATCAAAATGAAAGTCGTGATAAATCAAAAAGAAGTTCAAAGCAGCGTTTAACCCAACTCACTCGCCTTTTCAACTATTTGGAAAAGCCTAACATGGACACTTATGCAATTACTTCTTTCCTCTTTAAGCCAAGATGAACTGATTAAAGTGTTCGCTCGTCACGCCGATGACCCGGGTTCGATTCCCGACATGGGTACAATGTGTGAAGCCCATTTCTGGTGTCCCCCGCCGTGATATTTCTGGAATATCGCTACAAGCGGCGTAAAACCATACTCACTCACTCCATGTATCTCATGTTAAGCTGTTTATCACAATATACCAAACAATTCAAATGTTATTATTTATCCATACACACTGTATCGCACAGAGCCAACCGTCACAGTTATCAAGCATCACAAAACACGAGAATACACATGTGACTACTTGTCAAACTACATTTCAATCAATAATAGTTGTATTTCTTTTATTCATAGGGCACACTGACATGTCACCGTTTGACAAAAGCAGCACATGGATATATAGACGCTCTTTAACGGCTGAACAAGCCCTGAAAAAGTCAGCACCAATGATTGCCACCATTGGCGTATTATACTCCTGAAACCGGAAGTATCGCGTGTGGATCTACCGTCACACCTGCTCACCGGGAACAAATGGAACTACTTTTTCAGTCCGTCACGACAATACTACCAATAATCAGGAAACATGAGAATACACACGAGATGGCCATTGCTCAAGAAACGAACAAACGAACCTGTCAATTATT